CACACACACACACACACACACACACACACACACACACAGTACTCCTTTATACAAGCACCCCTCACACACAGCATTTCTTCACACACAGCCTCCCTCACATAGAGTTTCCCTCACACACAGCATTCCTTCACACAAGCCTCTCTCACATACAGTATCCCTTAAATAAGCACCCCTCACATCCAACGGGCACCATGCACAGTCACTCTCTCATATACAAACTCCCTTACACAGCCTCCTCCACACGTGTCAACCATCATACACAACAACTCTCATACACAGCCTCTTCAGATGGCCACCCCTACCAAAGAGCTTCCTCACACACAGCCTCTTCATCACATCCTTCCACACACAGCCCCCTTCAGATATGACTACCTTCACACACAACCACCCCAAACACAGACTCTCTCATGCACAGTCTCCTCATTCGTAAGTACTCCCCCACACAATCATTTTTATGCACACCCTGCCTTTATATACAGCCTCTTCTCATATATACCATCCTCACATCATCTTTCTCAAGCATAGCACGCCCCCCCAGCCGCCTCTCACATGTCTGCCTTCATACTCAGCCTCCCCCCTCACACAGTCTCCATGCATAGCCTCTCCTTCAGCCTTTTTCTCAGATGCAGACATTTTCCTCCTTTTGCTTTGGTTGAGGTACCAGGACTCACTTGTACAGCCTTCCCTCCTCTTCACCTTGGGGTTATGTACTCTTCTTCAATCATTCTAAACTGTTGGACTCTGACTGCCACTTTTTAGACCCCCCAAATTCTCCCTATACATTATGTTTAATATTTCTAAAGTGAAGGAAGTTGGGCATGGTGGTGCATACTTTTAATCCCAGCACTTAGGAGGCAGAGACAGATGGATCTCTGTGAGTTCAAGGCCAACCTTGTCTACATAGTGAGTGCCAGGATAGCCAAAGCTACATAGTGAGACCCTATCCAGAAAACACAAACAAAAAAATCTAAATGGAGAAAACTGTACATGCAGACTTATCCATGGGTTAGGGAGCCCTCCCAACAGTTCCACGGCTCTCCTGGGTCTTTGGCTGGCTGATGGGGAACTAATAGTATTAAAGGGATTCTTTCTGTTCATTCCTGTCTCCCTTGTAAGCTGCTCTGTTTCTATAATTTAAAAACTATCATCTGAGAGGGAGTAGAGGTTTCTGACGGTTCTGAGAAAGTGACTCTCAACCCAGACAAAAGTTCCCCTCAACCAGAAGGGGCATCCCTGACAGACCATATTCATTTTTTGGTCTAATCTTTCTGTCCACTGTACATGTGCAGATCTGGAGACCAGATTTGTCAGGAATATGTATGTGCCTGTCCTCACTTCATGGCTCTCCTAAAGGCCTTATACAGTCACACGCCAGTATCTGTGAGGTATTTTTTCCAGGACCCTCTTGTGTACTAAGCTTCACAAAAGCTCACGTACATCATGTAGAACAGAGTATTATTTACATGTAAACTACACATACCCTCCCAATACTTCAAATCATCTCTACGTTGCTTATGTTACATAATACAATGTACATGCTAGGGGAATAGTTATTATACTACATTATTTAAGAAATAATGAAAAGGGGGAAATCTCACCATATTCAATACAAAGCAGTGTTTTTCTCTCTGGGGTTGACTGTGGAACCTATGGATATGGGTGTGTATGTATGCTTATAGACACAAGTCATATGTGTGTGTATGATGTGTGTGAACGTCTATATAGTATTTCAGCGTTCAGTGCAGGACCCAGAAGCTTCTCTATTCTCCCCATCCTAATGTGGGCTGCTTACCTGGCTCATAGTCCAACTCAAAGCAGAGTTTTTCTGTAAGAGAGAATAACGACAAGATGATATCTCAGTAATCTCAAAACCGCCAAACACTCAGTGATGAGAAAATGGAGGCTCAGAAGAGGGAAGGAACAGAGAGGAGAATGGAAGTTGGAGTCCTCTCGACCAGTGCTTTTAAATATGTGCTCTCACCCAAACCTCACTCTCATTTCAAATCCAGACACTCTGGGACAGGTTGCAGATACGCATTCTCACAAGCTCCCAGGGGTTACTGATGCTCCTGGCCTGGAGCCCCCGGAGGAGCCTGCTGCCTCTCTATCTTCACACACATCTACTCAAGGAAAAGATCAGTGGGTTCACTTTGTTTTCTTCTACTAGGAAATAATGTTTGGGCCGGCCAGAAGTCTGCCTTTGATTAGAGTAAAATCCCCTCTACTGTCTAGTCCATGGAGTGCTTGCAGGAAGCAGGATTCAGGAATGTCCTCCCAGGGGCATGTTTCTGTGGGTGTGACACTTAGAAATAGGTGGCATTGTTCATGATGTCACAGTTCATGGGGAACAGAAAGCCACACTTACATTTCTAACTTCCCTGGCTGGCTGCCATTATGACTCCTTCTGGGAAAGGAGTGGGGCTCAGTTCCTATAAGGGTGGCTCAGTCAGTCAGCTAGACCAATAAAAAGAGGTGGGGGGAAAAGGCTGGGCATGTGGTCGGTGGTAGAGTGCTTGCCTACCATACACAGGCCCTGGGTTCAACTTTGAGTAGTGAATGAAAAAAAGAAAAAAAAAACAGCAGAAGGAAAGCAAAAGAGGAGGGAGAGGCAGCTTCTGCAGTTAGGCAGACACCGTCACTCATTAACACTAAACATCAAAACACAATGCAGTGCACATGCTGCTGAGAACGTTCGATGATGGAGAGTGATGGATGTTGCTAATCATTATCCTTTCTGCTACTTCACGTCAGGCGGTCACGTTTGTTTAACAGGTTGACCCTCCAGCCCCCACATCTTCACTTTTATCGTTTCTCCTCACTGTGATGTCATTCCGAGAGTCAGATTTTACCGGACTTGGCAAATATGAAAGTTAAGGTACTGAAGGAGATAAGCCATGATAAAATACATAGTCATTGGCAGTGGAGTCAAGAGGCCATTCCCAAGCCCAGGCTGTGTGCACAGCAGCATGCTGTGGAGGCCTAGGGTCTCCTTACCCAGAAATGTCTTCATCTCCTGCTGCAGAGGGATGGCCTGTTGGGGGAAGTCCCGGATCCTCTGGCCCAGCTCTGGAGATATAGCCTCAGGTTTCCGGCACTTTCTAGTTTCACATCTAGGGCCATGGAAATGACAGAGTCTGGGAATTATTCTTTTTTTTTTTTTTTTTTTTTTTTTTTAGAAATTACTTAATTGTATGTGTCTTTTTACCTGCATGCATGTATACATGCATACAGTGTCTGTGGAGACCAGAGGGCATAGGATCCACTGGACCTAGAGATGGGTGTGGGTTCTGGGAACTGGGTCCAGGGTCTTTGCAAGAGCAACAAGTGCTCTTCACCAATGAGCCATCTCTCTAGCCCCTAGAATTATTCTTTTCTAATGATGTCTTCAGGCTGCCATCTTCTTCTAACAAGGCCTGGATCAGCAACCTCCCATCCTCTCAGATGGATCCCACAGCTACACAGTGGGTAGATCTACTGCAGCCCATGAGAACACAATAGGGCATGTGTAGATTTATACATGACTGTGTGCCGGTCATGTAAGAGTGTGGTTTATTTGCATGGCAATCACTAGGTGGGTGGAGCATGGGTGGCTATCTATGTGAAAAAGAGAAATAGGCGTTGTATCACTAACCTTATTAGAGTGCTTCTGATATCCTGAGAGAGAGGGGTGGAGGAAGAGAAGGAGAGAGG